CATTACCTTATGACTTTTGTGAACTCTTGAATTATCAAAATGAATTGCAAACTTTTGTTTTTGTTGTTTGGATTTCTCAAACTCATCAGAATTGATAATTTGAGTAAGAACATTGTCAATTAGATACTGAGCATTCATCGTATTAGGTTTTTGAAGAATATCAATTGCGATGATGCCATTCACGCCCCAAAAAACCGACAACATCATCATTGGTGTGTCAATTTTTTTCTTCGGGAATGTTTGCGGATTTTCATCCTTCGGGATCCACATGATTTTGGCTTCTGTTGCATATTGAAACCAAGACTCGTCCCCTGTTACTAAAAGCGAAACTTCTTGGATTGATACGCACCCAATATAGAGAGGAGCTCTTTCGAAGATTGGACTCTAGATTTTTTTTGAACTGAATTAAGGTTGTGCGGAACCCAACGTGTATACGCTAGTTTGTAGTTCAAATAATTGTGCAGATAATAACTGACTGTTGTACGTGGTATCTTTGTCATCTCCTCTATCCTTCTGAGTGATGCTCTTGGGTCTTCATCTAGCGCTTGAAGAATTGCTTTGATTTTTCTTTGATCCGGCGATTTTTTGTCAATTTTTATGATGGGCGCCTTTTTGTTCATGAAGTGATACATCCTAACATGATACGTTACAGTGGAATAGCTAGGAGCATCCATACCGAAGCATTTTACCAATGTCTCGTAGATTTTTTTACAGTCTTTGCATTTTTTTGCAAGAGCGAGGATGTTTTCTTTATGATTCATTAAAAAAATGAAAAAAATCCCGCCAAAATTTCCCGCGAAACCGCCTCTTGTCTCAAAATTCATTTTATATCCCGGCATGGCGCCAAAATACAACATACTCATCATATACATATATTCATATTTTTTATTATATATTTATAATCAGCATATATCTCCTTTAATAGTCTCATATAGAGCGCTGTGCTAAACGCACCTTTGGACACCCTATACTAATAACTGATTCATCTATTTCTTTATGGATTACTTTAACGAAAATGTTTCCATAATTGATAACAGATTTAAGCGAATTGAATATACGAGATGGACTGACAAGGGCTTCACCGTGATTAGTGAGCGTACTAAGAGAAGGAAACTCATTTCCTTTGTTCAAATAGACTTTTGCGCCTTCTTTGATGGTCATGGAGTTAATATTTGGGAAATAATCTCCAATATGCACTTCTCCTTCTAATTCTAATTCACCATGAATCTCACCATAGTATGTTTTTGATTCAAGAATGAGTTTAGCTTGAGGCTCGTTAATAAAGGATTCCAGAGTTGGTGATGAACTGAACATTGATGCTTCACCACGATTCACAATTGATTTAAGACCTTGAATGATTGATGTTTTAAAAATGTATAGCTTCGAAGATTCATATACTTCAATATTATGAACAGTATGGAATGTTGCATTAATGTTGAGTGAAGATTTAACTCTAATTCCTTTGCAATTGATATGAATTCTCCATTCATCAGGGTGATTTGGATTCTTGATGTATTTGTTTACTTTTTCATATCTCTCTCCGATGTAATCACAAATTTCATCTTCGAGAGCAAGCGATAATATTTCATTTGAAACTTCAATATTTCCAGCATTCATAATTGATGCTTTTTTACCTAATAAGGAAATGTTATTATCAACATATAATGCTCCATAGTTTATGAAGACTCCGTAGATCTCAACATTTTTAAATATATTAAATGAATTTGCTTGTACAAGGTTTAACATTTTAACATTAACTCCTTCAATATTCGTTGAAATTGTCGTTGATTTGCATAAAAATTGGAATGTGTTTGTGACAATAGAAGATCCTTTTGATAATTCCAATTGGTTGCCATCAAAAACAATTTGATTCTTTGAGCGGAACATGCCTTCATTGATATTATTGCACAGACAATTCATGTACAAATTGGATTTGCCGTCCAAAACACCAAAGTTTTTGATATCAGCAGATGTAAAAATTTCTAAATTCTGAAAATTAATCAATCCATGATTGATCACGTACGATGAAACAATCTTTTGAACTTCTTTGATGCTTGATTCTTTACCATTGAAAAGATATGTTACATTGTCAAGTAACTTGGTTGTAAAAGAACCAAAGTTTAAAATTGATGAGCCTCTACAATAAACATTTTCAACATTCATTGTACCAAGGCTATAAACAATACTATTATTAAGAAGAAGTTCGTGCGCTTTGAATTCGGAACCTTCTGTCATTAAAAAGCATGTGATACTTCCTTTATTATTATCGACAGGAACAATCTGAAGAGAGTCCATTTCAACAATGGATTCTTTGAATAAGATAACACCTTGAGATGAAATGTCCATTTGATTAACAACTGCTCTGAAAAGAATAACTTGGTATGGAGCAATAACCGCGATTTTAAGGGATTCAATATTATGATTCCCTTCTATGGCAAGATTTCCGTCATTTGAAACAACTATATTTCCAATTTCTGGTAAAGAAACCATGTAACCATGAGATGATTGTGTCTGAATAATTAATGGGCTTCCATCAATATCGACTTTAACTGCCACATCATCCAGAATTTCATGTATTTGGGCTGATCCTACAGTTTTTAATTCTTCATTAAATGAAGTGACATTGCAATCAAGAATAACAGTGTATTGACCTTCAGACCAATGCCGTATGTTTAAGTGAAATACGGGCTCACCAAACTTTTCATCGATATATACTGATAGATGGATGATATAGTCTGGATGAGTCATTAAATATGAATGAAAAATTCAAAACTAAACTGTTTGTTTCAATTTTCAATAAAAATTCCACGAAAACGAAGATCTAAACGACAGATTTCAAAATAAATAAGATAAACAGAATCAGTAGGCCCCAAATATGAATGATATGATCTTAGTTTGAAAAGTTACTAAAAGAATAAAAAGATTTGTGAATTATGTTTTAATTTCAATAATTTTTATCAATTAATTATCATGTTATGATTTATATATCAAATTTAATTTCAAATATAAGTAAATCAATGATAAAATAATAGAAATTCTATAGGATATGCTGGTTATTTTCCATTTAATTCATGTGTAAACTTTACCATTTCAGTGTTATTGCTCAAATTCATTGAATGAATGAATATTGATTAAGAATTTATCCAAAACTTCATAAATCACTGATGATTTAAGCAATTTAACAAAAATAATCAAAATTCTACGATCAAGAAATTCCAAATTTTTTCTAAATTCAGCATTTTGAAAGTATTTTTAACAAAATTTCGAAATATTTTCATGATTTCAGAAATTTTTTAGAAATTTTCCATCTCAAAACTAATCAAATTACTTCAAATCTGCCAATTTCATGCAATATTGGAACTATTTCAACAGATTTAAAGCTCATATAAAAATAATTGTAAATATCTTCTTTATTACGGAGAATTTATCACACGATATAACATGTGCATACTAAAATCAGCATATTACATTGTAGTTGTTCATTTTTGTTCAATGGATATTGATTACTCATACTAACGTATTCATTGAATCAAAGATCAAAGGATATTACTGACAATCAGTGATATAAAATAATTAAACCAATTAAAATATCTCTCGTTTCTTTATTTAAACTCATATCTTTCGATTAAATTTACAATTTCATAATTTTAGCATTTTAATGCAATTAAATTAGTACCAAATTATTACACCCTCCGATTCATTTCAAACCGCCCCAAACATTTTCAACTATTTTACAATTTACATCATATTTTTTACAATTATCGAATTTTTATCAGATTTAGCATATTGACGATAAAATTTATCGAAATATAAAAGCGTGTTACTTACTAATCAGAGTTTTTCGCGATTCATATTTCAATTTACAAATCCAAGCATTGCTTTTCGTTTTCAAACATCAATTACTGCACTAAAATCATCTGCTTATACAAATCATAAAAAAATTTAAATACGATTGAATATTATTTTTATTTCGCGATTTATTTACAAATTTGCAGCTCACTCATATGAAATTTTTCGAAGTAGTGAGTTTTCCTTGTTTAATTTCTTAAATTATGAATAAAAATTTATTTTTATTAAAATTCTACTTATAAAACTACTTTTTAACCATAAACACAGTCATATATCATATACCATAAATATGTGAAACTAGTCGCAAGTATTTTACTTCATATTGCGATACTTTTTTGATTCGAATCTTATTCTCATTATAAAATTATTGAATTTAACATATTATTGATGGCAGATGCAATATATTGCCTATGAATTTTATGCCCTTAACTTAAATTGTATTATAATTCCCTTATATCAATCAAATTATCTTAATTCAGTTAGCATATTTATATAATATACTATTTTAATTAGTTAATTCATATTCATATGCTCTGAGCTATCTATCATATCAATTTCAGAAGTGAAATTCAACTCCTTCATGCCAAAATCAATATCCTATGGGTCTATCGTCATAATCGGAACGATTTTCGGGAAAAACATCAAAAGACGATTATTTTTCGGGAAAAACGTTTCTTCCCTTGGTGGTGATATAAGTTCTTATTTTCATCAATTTTGAATGAAGACCGTTTATTTTTGAGAAGTTTAGGTAGGAATCACAAAGCGTGCCAATGAAGGAAGAATGTAATTGAAAATATGTGTAGGAATATGATGACAAGGTAAATTTAAATGATTTAAAGAATTTATAATTGATTTAAAGAAGCTTCCTTCATTCAGATGTGCTTGCGCAGTCAATTAATGAATCATGCTAATGCATAAAGTTATTCTTAGAAAACATGTCAAGATTTCATATTTTCTGACTGTTTTATTGAAATGAGTTTTACAAAACAAGAGATGATTAAAAAATCAGAACATATGGAAAGAAAAACACGCATTGTTTAATACAATTCAATTGAAATTAACATAATATAAGAAATTAAAATAAATCTATAAAAATACAATAATATAGAGATCAAAAATGGATTATGGAATAAGAAAATCAGAAATTTTGCCTATTTTTGATTTTGAGATTTCTGATATTGAATTAAAGAACATCTAAGTCCCTGAACTTGGGCCGACTTCAGGTTGGCCAGCAGGTATTTCATAGCCAAAGTCCATTTCTCTGGATGCTTCAGCTCGTACTCGTATGACTCACCTCCGATTGTTTTGTCCTTTGGCTTAATAAGGAATGGAGGCCTCGGCTGTCCTGAGTCAAAGAATACAAAAACATGGGAGAATACGCTCATTATTATGTCCATGGCTTCATTGAATCTTTTGACCGATTTTTTATGCTTTAGATCAAAAGCTGTAAGCGTATACTCATGATCGTGTATTTTAAATGTCATTTCTGGCCCGAGATGGATTTCAAATATGTAAGCTTTTGTAATTGATAAATAATAATTCAGAATTTGGCATAATAGCATCAAACCTGAGTTTATTTCTTCTAATGGAACCGGTGTTGGAGTTTGCGTTCCAAGCCGAAGCTCGTTTATAGTTCCATAATGTCCATTCGAGCTAATTACAAAAGTAGTACATGCAACGAAGGTATTAACTTTCAAATTTTCGTTAGGATTTTGCCGTAGCATCAATGTATCGGGAGCTTTACTTCGAAAAGATTCATCTCTTGGAATACTTGGAGATAAAGTTTCAATTCTTACATCGGAGCCTGCCGAAGATGATTCAAAAACTTCTCTATAGACTTGAATTTCTTTTTTAAGCTTTTCTGTTTTATGTTTCAGTTGTTTTATTATATCAAGCGATACATTTGGCATATTTTTTGATAATGGATCAGATTCGTACTTAAGGTAGTCTCTTTGGCAATTTATCTGTTCGAGTTTTAAATTTGCGCACTTGTTACAAATAGGAAAATCTGCTTGTTCGCGTTTTTGAAAGATTTCCTTATCTTCAAGGAATTGGTCATAATACTCCCACTTAAAATCTTTCCCACAATGAAGTTGAATACGACGAGGTGTTTTGGTTGAAAAAGTTTGGCGTCTGTGGTTGCGAAATGCGGCATTCCAGTTAAGTTCAGTAGCAATACACAATTTCCTGCAACGAGAGCATACAAAAAGAGCATTTGGAAGATGCTTCTGAGGCGATTCTTCCATAAAAAAAAAATAAAGGTAGTCTCACGAAAATACGTTATTTTCCCGATGCCTTGGAAGCAGCTTTGCAGGTTACCCGTAAGGTAACCAGTAGAAGTTTCTGAGCAAGGATGAAGAAGATTAAAGAGCCTTTTTATTGCAAACGCTATATTTGTAAGTGTCTTTGTAGAACTTCTCATAAATTCAAAGATTTCCAAAAACGATTTTTTCGATTTTGATATAATAAATGATATTTAAACAAATTATAGATGTGTTTGCAATTAAAAAAATCCGAGTTAACTACAATATCTTCAATTTTTGTCGTTCACTTTTTCATGTCATACTGATAGCAAGAATACTCACCCAATTTGGTTACACTTCATGATAGTTTGAAGTAAAAAAAGGCCACAGTTTTTTTTATTTGATATCGTTATCTAAATTTTGTACAGAAATGAAATAAATTATAATATGAAACGTGTGTTATTATGCTTATTGGGAAACAATCCAATACTTATGTCTGAAGGAAATGATTATTTCTACGAGATTTTTCATATTCAGCTAATAATGCTATCAAAATCAAATAACAATAAAAAGTTATTTTGTACATAATGTAACTTAATCTTTAATACTATATAGAACTTCGAAATACGACTAAACGGTGCGAGTTACGCGATTAAATACCTTTTTTTCGATCGAAACTTGAAAGTGAGGATAACTCAATGGGTAGGGGTATGGGTTCGACTTTTTCTATTGGGCAACTATTTTTTTCTTTTCATTGTTTCAGCATTTTTTTATGCGATTATGCATAATTATTTGATTTCCTATTCAAATAAATAAATTTTTAGAATATTTAAATTTATAGCTCCCTACATTAATATAAAGTGTTCGAATAGTTCATATATAGTTTCTTTAAAATAATTTGTTTCATTTTAAATTGGTTTGGCACAATGCTTGACATAACATGCACAAAGCTATGCCATTTTAAAATATGTATATCAATCAAGCCGATTAAGTCCATCCTAAACGAAAATCATCGATACTCATGAATTTATGATAGTCGTTCTTGATATAATTGCGCGTTTTAAAAAAATGCTTACTTTTGAACACAGAACTTATCTATCCATATTTATCAATGAAAGTTTATAAGATGCATTAATGACAAAACCTTACTTTATCAATTATAATCTTATCGTAAATTTCAAACTACAATACTGTGGGGCAAATATTAAATAACCACTATGTTGCGGATTTTATGTAAGTCTGCAAACTGTAAAATGTAATTAAACACAAATAAAAAAAAATGTAAATTTTAATCGAGAAATTTAGCAATCTTGAAAGCCTTGATCGGCATCTTTTACAAGATGTCAGTAATGCATATTCAATAACTATGAAAATCTAGCCAAGCATGGATTTTTTTCGAAAAAAAATTATATTAAATTTCATTTTTCATTCTTTATACAAGTTTTAACCTTTGGTGCAATTATATCCTATCGCAAATGCATTATTGACGTTATTACTTGGATACTTCTTCATAACGCTAAATCTTCAAATTAGTTATGTGTTTGTTACTAATAGAAGTTGGAAAGGTATTAAAAAAGGAAATGTTAATAAATATACATGTTTAATTAAAAAACAAACAAGAATAAATTAAATAATTTTATTTCTTAGGAAAGTCTAAGTTTTGTAATAGATAAATTGCTTTTTGTGTCTCTTCTTCATCAATTTCTGGATGTTGATTCTCAGGTGGCGGACTAATTAAAACATCATGGGCAATATCAAACCCTTGTTTTAGTTCGTTGGCAGAAGGAAAATGATCTTCTTGTATTGGCGTTATTAATGATTGAAAATCATCAGTTGATTCTGCATTTTGGGAATTTTCCAAATTTTCATTTGGAAAATTTGAATTTTGAGATTGAATTCCTTGAGATGTAGAATCTGTAGTTGTAGAGTTTTCTGTAGAAGAAGAGGAATTTGAGTTTGCGAATTGTAGTATGTCATTGAAATTCTCATAAAGAGGTGTTTTGGCCATCGGCACTTTTTGTAACTGTGTTTCGTATGCTTGAGATGGGCAATAGCCCCTATTTTCTGAAAAAGGAACTGGAGCTTTTATTTCAATAATTTGATCCAGTTTTTGTCTTAAAATTTCCACTCCATTACGCGGAAAATCTTTGCTGTAAGGTTCAAAAACACTTAATGGTTGTGTGTGATTGTATTTTATTAATCTTCCCCAAACTGAAAATACCTGATCTTCGTGCCAACCAACTAAATACATAAGATCGGTCGTAATACTGGCAATATCTTCATCTGTGAATATATATTGGGACTTAATATCTTCTGGCATCTCCTCGACATTTGCCATATTTGCTCCTGAATTATCAAGTCTGCATTCTGACACAAGACGATCAAAATTTTGTTCACGGTAGGTTTGGTTCATTACCAAATGCGCTCCCGCACTCATCAAATCTTTAACTTCTTTTTTTGAATGCGCAAATTTTCGGAATAAGGCAAATAAATGTTCAACCGGAAGGGTTGTGAGATGTTGAAAATTTATATTCGGGAATTCCTCTAAAAATCCATAAAGAGTGAGAAGAGATGTCGCCATTTTCAGAAGATGCATTCTTCTGGCAAAAAGATAACCTTTGAATTTGAGACGATGATCTGGTGTCTCTATATTAGGAAGTCTATCAGTGACTCCGACCACATCTTGCAATCTGAGAAAGAAATGCAAGATGAAAAAAGCAAGTTTGAACATTGACAATCTTGCTTCAACTGGTAATATGGTATTTCGGACTCCCTCAAACCAAAGTGCAAGTGGAAGGAGCCAAGTTGCTTCAGTGTAGCAATTATTATCTAGCATATCCTTGACGGTTTGAACGTTAAAGATTGTTACAGGATATTTGTCATTGAGTGTGGTAGACTTATCACAGTTGTTAATTGCATCTCCAAGTTTGGAAAATAATCTAATTTTTGTAATATCGACGTGCAGCGTTGGATCATAAGGTTGCAAAAAGATTAACTTATTGGGGAAAATTAATAACGTTCTGAGGTTTTTGCCTATATGAACGACGTCCGCGATGAAGATAATCTTAAGATCTTGGAATTTTGCACTTTTAAGGACTTCTACTAATCCATCAAAGCCAGTAACTAGGCTGTACCAATGGTGAAAGAATATCTGATAAACAAAATCGTAAGATTTGTCACCATCAGTTGTAAAAACTGGAACATTCAGTGTTTTCTGAACTGTAGCAATGTAATCCAAGATTTCACTCATAATTCCAGATGCAAGACCATTTGTATGTTGTATTATATGCAAACATATTGATGGACCTTTGCAATCTAATGGCATCAAATATAATGCAAATAAGTCCTCGATTTGATCGTCATGGCCGGACTTCTTCCATAATTTGCCTGTGATTGCATCTATTCCAATGCAAAAATGGCATTGTTCACGTAATTCCTCATCTGTATATGGATATAATTCCCTGAATCTGAGGAATACTGGGAGTGAAGATGATTTTGAAAGCAAAAGTTCCTTCCATGCTGCAATATCTTTACCAAAGACTCGAAATAGAGTTGCTTTTGATGGCAACATAAGTTTCTGTCTTGCCAACAAATATTCTGAGGGTTGTTTGCAATACAACATAAAGGCAAATTGAAGTGTCTCCGCATAGTATCGTCGGCTCTTTGAGTTTGGAAAATTTAAATTATATAACATGTTATTAATGATAACACACGTTAATTTATCTGCAAACGGAGGGTACTTAAATAATGGGGTATAATCATCTAATAATATTTCGCTTAAACTCAAGGATTCATCACCATTTGTTTCATCTTCATCTTGATCATCAGAATCATCTTCATTGTCATTGAGAGTTTCAAGATCTGCCTTTTCTGCTTCTTGTTCTAATTCGTCTGCAGTTCCATCTTGTATTTTTCTTTGTTCATTGATTTTTTTCATTTGCAGAGATCTTTGATAGCTTAGAGCACGGTTTTTGGAAGCTGCAATCATTGATTTAATAGTATTCTCTTGTAATAGTTTTGATTGATTGGGACTTGTTTGATAATCTGCGATATTATTATAAATAACACCAGGAAGTTTTTCTTTAATAAGCTTTTCAAGCTTCTTAAATGTGGCAATATCTACACATGATAAATTAATTTCTATCTTCTCACGGTTCATAATGATTTGTGGGAAAATGATTAAGTGGCCGAACACTTAAAGCATTTCTTTTTCGTTTTATATCAAAACAGATTTAGATAGCTTAAAACAATATAGTTTACTCATAAATACATCTTGATAATTCACTTCTTCAATTTTCATAATCTTATATCCTGACCTATATCCTCTTATAAACCATATTTCTACTGAGATCTTCTTAAAGCATCTTTTTATCCCTATCTACGCCTCGAAACCCTATTTTTCCAGCGGAATATGAATCTTCGGGTCTCGCTGATTCGATTTCTGCAGTCAGATCGTAAAAATACCCACTACATAGCCTGATAATCTCAATTTAAGTTCCTTAATTTTTTTGAAAAAAAAATTAAAACTCCCTTATCATGCTCATTTTTACGAATTTCATTTTTCCTTTAAGTTTAAAATATACGCTTTTTAGCATGTTTATAATACATTTTCAATTTACATTTACATTTTTATTTTTGAATTGTTTATTTATATTTCCGTTTGAACAATAATATTTATTGAAAATTGTGAGAGAAACGGATATAATAAAAAACACCATACAACAAAATTCACTTTTTTTCATACTTACGCGGATCACTCCTTTTCGGCCCAATATGCCGGAAATGATAAAACTCTCAGATCTAGTTGCTAAGATCCAAACTCTCGACTCTCAAATCTACTTCCTCAGATCTTGTTGCTAAGATCTAAACTCTCGACTCTCAAATCTACTTCCTCAGATCTTGTTGCTAAGATCCAAACTCTCGACTCTCAAATCTACTTCCTCAGATCTTGTTGCTAACATCCAAACTCTCGACTCTCAAATCTACTTCCTCAGATCTTGTTGCTAAGATCTACTTCCTCAGATCTTTTTGATAAGATCTACTTTTAATGTTTAAGCACTCAGATCTCATTTTTAAAATATCTGCACCAAATTCTTACATCTGATAATTTTCATGTGTAACCAATGTTTCCCAATCCCTTTGCCATACCCTACTAATCGCAAATTCATTCCCTTTAATTTTGTATTAAATTTAAATTCCAATCTTAATTTCTACATTATTTATGCTAACCCTTTAAATTTTGTTCTTATTTATTCACCCTCAGATACAAATTTATTTAGAATGTATTCCTCTGAGGTCTATATTTGTATTCGAAAATAAAATCTTTAAAACTCTCTAAGTTATCATTTTCTCTTCAGATATCTAATATTTTTCTAATGACATAACTACTTTGGACGCATATCCAAATTCCAAAAAAAATATGGAAAAAATAAAAATGAAATTGAAAAATACAATTTTTGATATGTAAAAAGAGATTTTGAAAAAAATTGGGAAAAAGAGTATCTAATAAAATTGTTTGAGATCTATGTAGACATAGTTTTTACAGTAAAAAATCAATAATATTGAAATTGATCTGAATATATCTTTTTTTTTTAGTTTGAATGCATTAATCTCAAAGCATTTGATAAAATACTGGTTTTATTTCAAAATTCTAAATAATTTGTAATTAGATCTTTATGATGTAATTTAATTTTAAACAAGTACAGATAAAGTGAATCATAATAAAGGTGATCTATATTGCTTAAGTAAAATTGAGTATAATAGATCGATCTTAGCAACAAGATCTGAGGAAGTAGATTTGAGAGTCGAGAGTTTGGATGTTAGCAACAAGATCTGAGGAAGTAGATTTGAGAGTCGAGAGTTTGGATCTTAGCAACTAGATCTGAGAGTTTTATCATTTCCGGCATATTGGGCCGAAAAGGAGTGATCCGCGTAAGTATGAAAAAAAGTGAATTTTGTTGTATGGTGTTTTTTATTATATCCGTTTCTCTCACAATTTTCAATAAATATTATTGTTCAAACGGAAATATAAATAAACAATTCAAAAATAAAAATGTAAATGTAAATTGAAAATGTATTATAAACATGCTAAAAAGCGTATATTTTAAACTTAAAGGAAAAATGAAATTCGTAAAAATGAGCATGATAAGGGAGTTTTAATTTTTTTTTCAAAAAAATTAAGGAACTTAAATTGAGATTATCAGGCTATGTAGTGGGTATTTTTACGATCTGACTGCAGAAATCGAATCAGCGAGACCCGAAGATTCATATTCCGCTGGAAAAATAGGGTTTCGAGGCGTAGATAGGGATAAAAAGATGCTTTAAGAAGATCTCAGTAGAAATATGGTTTATAAGAGGATATAGGTCAGGATATAAGATTATGAAAATTGAAGAAGTGAATTATCAAGATGTATTTATGAGTAAACTATATTGTTTTAAGCTATCTAAATCTGTTTTGATATAAATTAAAGCGTATACTTATGCAAAATGCGAAATTTAAATTAATACTTTTTTTGCTATTTGGACACAAAGCTAACAATCCATCTAATAAATGACGTATACCTAGCGAGATGAAGCATTTTAACATGAAAGACAAGAAAATCTGATTACTTGTGTTGAAAGTTTCTGTATTTCGTCTTCTTCCAAACACAGCGTTCAGATGCAGAAGAAAATGCAGCCGTAATGACGCAAAAAGACACTAAAATAAATTGGAGAATTTCTGTAAAGTTTTTACTGAGCTTTGTTATTGAACCCGAATTTGTTGCTGAGTGACAGGATATTAAATCTACGACATTCATGAGTAATTGTTATCAATTTGTCAATAAATTATGTTGAAGATGGTTTAAATGTCTTCGAAGGCATGAAATTAGATCCTAAATCTGTTTGAGTTAATAAAAGAGAACAAATGTTGAAAGAGTTGTCATATTGCCTACAAAATTTTCAAACATTTGCATTGAGACAATGTGAAAAAATGATGTCCAAAATACTTGTACTAAAATATTTTTAATTTGAATCATAACAAGGAAAAACAATAATGGCAGAATAAGAAAAAAAAAGTGTGTCACGATTTCACCCGGAAATCCGACGGTTGTTTAAGAGTAAGCACTTTTGGCACCTACTCGAAAAAAAAAGATGTTATGATTTGAACAGTTGCCTTTTAGATTCAAAAAGAGCATAGTGTTCCCAACAACTACACTACCTTCCTTTCCAATAAAAAGCTGAATAATTAGTATTTAATGAATTCTCCAGCTTGGGGATTTGCGGCTTTTTCAAAATCTGTTATGATAGTTCTATATAGCAATTGATATATAATATGTTTTTTATAATCAAATAATTTTTTAGTCCAGATAAATTTTTTAAAATTTCAAAGTCTTTCCATTCTACTAACGCTCTTCATATCCATATTCTTTACCATATATGTAATATAACGCCTTATTTTAATTCCCATGTTTACGATTTATTTGTCGAAAAACTGTCTTGCCCATTAACATCTCGGAAAAATTTTCGACTTTTTGAATGGCCGTTTTCAAGATCTCAAAAACTGTGGGATATTTTTTACAAAGCTAATCGACATTTATTTACCACATATATGTACTATACAATGCACCTGGTTTCATCGAATTTTTACCGTCAGTTTTCTCGTGAGACTACCTTTAAAAAAATTGAAATCAGAAAAAAAATTTTTCAAATTAAAAATTTCCCAATTATACTCCAATACTTCTTCAATAATCAACTCTTATGTAATAAATGTTTTTTCAGTCACTTTTTCCAGTAATGGAATCGTGGAATTTACGAATCCGACAATTTTCTAAGGATATGACAATTATATGACATTGATCTGATTTACATGATTTGACATGTAAAATTCTAAAATTGAAGCGAGATTTACAAATTTGAATAATGTTTAATACATTATTGATTAAAATAAGCTATTAAGAAAGATTTTATAATTTTTAATGATTTTGTAGATAACCTCAAAATGAATCAAAAATTCGTTCCTTCTTTTCAACTTGATGCCTGAACAAGACCAAGAGAAGGATATAGCAGAATCATATTTTATGTTCCCTGAATTACTTTCCTTTTACAAAAGGCTGACAATAACAGCAGGTTTTATTTCAATTTGTGTTTTGTTAGCGCATTATTGGCTCGAAACAATAGTCATTTATGCTATGTACCATGTATTGGTTAACTCTGAGTCTGCAATACATAATTCTTGCAAAGAATTAAAACATAGTGAACAAGTTTCTTTAAGTTCTAGATTTATTAATAAAATTTATGGTTTCGGCGACGTAATTTGTTCATATGTATGTGGAACAATTTTATATTTCTCAATTGGAAAACCGTACGATTTATTTGGAGCTCTGATAAATTCAGTTCTCATGTCATTCTGCGTCCTATTCTTAATAGGAGCAATGAAATCAATAGCAATTGGCTTTCAATTTTTCAGAAAATGCGATATCGAAAATGGAAGTATCGGATTACTGACAAATATGTCTATTATAATACGTTTTATACTTGTTACTCCGGTTTGGGTTTGCTATTTATCTGGAGTACCCCAAAATTCTATACCAAAAAATTTAATTTTTTACACTTCAATTTATATAATAACAAAAATAATAGATTTAATAATATTATGCTATACTTTATCGCAACAATGCGTTCAATTCTTTAGATCTGTGCTGATTAGTTACAAAGGAGATGGAGAATGTCAGCATTGCAAGTGTAAAGGCAAAAATCTGTACATGGCTCAATGTGGACATGTAATGTGCATGGATTGCATCGATAGATCTAGAAGAGTGGCTGCTAAATGCGCTCTTTGTGAGTATAATATCCCAAGAAAATGGACTTCCTTATACAAATATGGAGATTTGGAAGAGTATTTGATATATTTTGTTGTTTGATATTAAAAATTATCTGTCTTATAAATAAATATTTTGCAAATTTTTGTGATCACAAATAAATATAGTAAAATCTAAATGCTTTTTAATATATTAGTGCCAAACATTTTACATGTTGATTGAAAATGAAATAAAACAAAATTAAGTTCAATATTGATTTTGTTTTTGAGTTCATACAATTGATAATAGTAAATATTTTGCTATTTTGTCTCAGTTATGAATATAATCTTACAAAATTTCGAATTTACTCTTTATTATTGATAAAAAAAATTAAATATTTAAATATATCTACTTTATTATAATTAAAATCAATATACATCAAGCAGTTAAATATAATTAATGGATGTAAGCGATTCACTAATATGTTATTGTAATTTCTCCATCAGAGTATTCGATATTGCTCTCGAAATCAAATATTCTCTGTTCATTGCAATAGTTAATTAATTCCTGTAATTCATCTGGGTTATTTTCTGTATAATATTTATAAATTATTGTCAAAACGTTTCCATTTTGGAGATCATCAGGAATAACCTTTTCATCTCCAAGCTTTTCAGCAATGGCAATAAAAATCTGAGTTTTTGGTTCGCAATATAAAAATACTGAAGATAAAACAGTCATTGCTTCATCCATGCACATAATAGACTGGCAAACAGTATTAAGCATAGCTCTAGCAATAGTTTCGCCATTACAATCTTCAGATTTGTAATTACTTCCAAAATTAACAACAAGGATTCTAATTAGGTCCAAAAGATCATGGTAATTGATATCAGATAAATCGTCATCCTTCGAATTATCTTTTTCTATCATAATTTCCAAAACATTTTTCATTGGAACAGTTTCGTCCTCTACAAGTTCGAAAAGATAAGGTCTGTATTGCTTATTCCCAACTATTGCTGAAATTAGACGAATAGAAATTGTATTATTCGCAAAATTTTCATGAAAATATATTTCCTTAATTAGATCGAGAGGAACTTCAAAATTCGTCTTAGAAATGATTGAAACAATGAAATTTGAGAATACTAAATACCAAATAAGATTATCAATAAAATTATTTTCCAAAATTTGATTATATACGGAATTGACGTAATCCAAACTTAATATTTCAAGGGTTTTGGAAGCAAAATGAGCTAGTGAGCATAATAAAAGCTCATTCTTATTACTTTCATAAAATTCAAAAATAATTGGAATTTTTTCCTGGAAAAATTGCGTATTTCCGAATTTTTCGAACAAAGATGAGATAAGATACAATAAGCTTTCAATTTCGAACCAATTTTCAGCCTGATTTATTGTTTCCCATAATACATTAAATAAATCTTCTGAATTCTCAGGAGAAGCAATCTTTTGGATGAACAAATATACATAACATCGTACTGTGAGGATTTTGTTATCATCTGGAGCCTCATAAGTGTTTCCATAAAAAACTGCTGGATTATTTACGAAATCGTTTTCATATTCCGAAATATTAGCACAATGAATCAATATAAGTAATATACTGTTCAATTTCTCTAGCCAGATCTTCTGTAAAGCTGAAAAATTCTTATTTATGATTTTCAAAATCTGGAACAACAATTCAGGTACTTCTTTAAACTTCTCTACTAATACTTCTAAATTTTCATGGATGAACTCAATTATATTTTTGATAGCTACCTGATTTTGTACTCCAAATAAATAAATTTCATAATAAAAATTAAGTATTGATAAAAATACGTCACAAGTATCAGTTGTTAATTCCTTTTCATATAGTATATGTAATGAGTAAATAAAAACAGGATTTTCTCCCAAATTGAATTCATGAAATTGCGGACTCTGGAAAAATCCATGTATTTCATTATAAATAGTGCAAAGAATTGTACAAGAAAGCTGTTCTTGCTGTAAATATTCAGCAGTTGTCTGGAAAAATACTTCTACTGCTTCTTCTTTATTTCCGTCACAGAATGCTATCTTGTCATCTCTTAATATGCGTGATATTATTGAAAATGAATGGAATGCTCTCTCAACTGTATCGGGATCTTTAGATTTTTCAATGAAATATTGTAATATAGCGACGCTTGTAAATTCATACTTTTGAGAGATTTTGAAGTATAGTTGTAACAACTCTTCATATATGTCTGGTGTTGAATAGTAAATTTCCAAAATAGGATTAAACAATAAAGGATATTGACCGGATTTATCGAAATATCCCTTTTTGCAAATGCGTGCAATGTTAGATATTGCATATGTAATAAGTTTTTGATCATATTCGGATTGTTTTTGAATAATAATAAGCAATTTCTCTAAAGTCTCATAATGAGGAAGGAATTCGGCAGCCAGCTCATATTGATCCGCAATGTTCTCCTCATAAATTGACTTTAAACGCTCAATAAACTCTTCCATTTTTGAAAAATGAATGTCAAAATTTATATCAAGAAAACTGTTTTATTAATTCAATTTTAAAATTCTTTTCAATGGAAAAAAATATTTGGAAAAAAATTGAGAAGATTATTAAAACTTTTTTTACCAAAGCGAGCCGTTTCGAACATCGAAATTATTAAAATTATTTTTTGGAAATCTTCTTTAGAAGATTTCAGCCATGATGCGCTCTAATGAGCGGCCCTCTCTGACGCCCTTCAAGAGGGAGCCGGAGATCTTCTGGATTCTGAAGCCAGCTGCGTAAACGAGGCGATTATCCTTGAAGTAGAGCTTGATAGCGGATCCTTCCTTGTCATCCTTCTGAGAGACAACGTTGTAGCCCTGTGCGCTCTCTGGTGGGTTGCCGCAAGCGAAGAGATCTGTTCCCATAGCGATCATTGAGACTGGTTCGATAGCGAAAGCGAATGTCTTGTTATCGCCGCAAGCGTTAGCACCGGCGACCTTACCCATAGCAAGAGCTGGAGCCCAGAGACCCTGGTTCATGTTGTCAAGGAATGCGCAATCACCAGCTGCGTAGACATCTGGAACGTTTGTCTCCATCTTGTTGTTGACAATGATACCGCGGCCGCACTTGATGCCAGCTGCAGCGGCTACTTCGGATTCGGCGCGGACACCGGCGTTGACAACAACGAAATCGGCTGGGATGAACTCCTCGCCGACCTGGACGCCTGTGACGTGCTTGCCATCGCCCTTGATGGAAACTGTCATGCCGAGGCGGACATCGACACCAAACTTCTTGACTTCCTCGAGGAGGACAGCGGAAGCTTCTGTATCGAGCTGGCGGGCCATGAGACGTGGCATGCACTCGACGACTGTGACAGCAACGCCCTTCTCCTTGATAGCGGATGCGTTCTCGAGACCGAGGACACCACCACCGATAACGACGGCCTTCTTAGCTGTCTGGCAGGCGGCCTTGAGCTGGTCGACATCAGCGGATGTACGGATGACGATGACGCCGGAGAGTCCCTCGTGGCCGATTGGTGGGATGAATGGGCGGGAACCTGTAGCGAGGATGAGCTTGTCGTAGGCGAGTTCATCACCGCGGCAGAGCTTGACCTTCTTGGCCTTTGTGTCGATGGCTGTGACGGATGTGTCAAGCTTGATTTCGATCTTGTTCTCCTTGTACCACTCTTCGTTCTTGAGGAAGTATTTGTCTGGAGCGATCTCAGCGTTGAGGGCATCGACGATGATTGGTCTGTAGTATGGCATGACCTTTTCACGGCTGATCATTGTGATCTTAGCGACGGCATTGCGCGCGCGGATGGCTTCGATGGAAGCAACAGCGGCGGCACCAGAGCCAACGATGACGTAGTTGAGTGGCTCTGTTGACTTGTGTGTGACCTGCTCGGCCTCGTAGAGTTCGAAGAGGTCTTGGCCGACACCGCAAGCTGGGCACTGGAGTGGTGGTGTAACACCGGCGTAGATTTCGCCGCAGATGACGCAACGCCAGAGAACGACGGCGCCTGTTGGGTTGAGCTCGGACCAGTCCTTAGCACCAACAACCTTGCCTGGAACAGCGCGTTCTGGGACCTTGCCTGTGATGAGGGCTTCACCGAACTGCTGGCCGAATTCGTTGACCTTCCCGTGTTCCTTCTTTGACATGCGGAACTTGATCTTGCAGCCGTCGATAACCTTGCAACGGATCTGATCGAATCTGGCAATGATGTTGTCGACACCTTCGCCGGACCAGCCGTATGAGCCGAATGCTGTGACGATCTTGCCGCCATGGACGATTGGGTTCATGGAGAGGGCAACATCCCAAACTGGTGGAACAGCGTCGCCGTTGATTGTGTTTGTGCCGAGGAGAACACCGTCAGCTGTAGCGATGGCGTTCATGATCTCGCCCTTGAGGCCGCCATAGTTCTGGATGTTGACGTTGAACATCTTGATCTTGGCATCTGGGATCTTAGCGAGGATGCCTGCCTTGATTTCTTCGGCCATCTCTGTTGTGTAGCCGTAAGCAGAGGCGTAGACCATGACGACTTCCTTGCCTTCGTGTGTTGGGAGTGGGGCAGACCATTTGCGGTATGTATCGATTGTCTCCTTGATACGAGCATCGAGGACTGGGCCGTGGCCAAGACCGACGAGCTTGATGTCAAGGTTGAGGATCTTGTCTGTTCCCTTGATGACGTACTCCTTGAATGGGCCGAAAATGGCGGTGTAATAGTAGAGGAGAGCATCTTGGTAGCCTTCCTCTTCCTCTGGTGGGAGCTGGCTCATGAGGATGGACTTCTTTGGTGAGTAGTGAGCACCGAATGAGTCGCATGTGAAGAGTGTCTTCTCTTCTGGAACCCATGTGTACATTGAGTCTGGCCAGTGAAGGAATGGGCAGGAAATGAATTCGAATGACTTGCCACCGAACTTAAGGACCTTGAGATCTTCAGCGGAGTGGCCCTTGAATGGGATGTTGACGATATCCTCAAGGTATGTGAGGGCTGTCTTGGAGCCAACGACTGTGAGATCTGGGATGAGCTCGATCATCTTCTTGATGGAGCCAGAGTGATCTGGTTCTGTATGGTTTGTGATAAGGTATTTGATCTTGTGGATGTCGCCGATGACGGACTTAACCTTCTCGATGTATTCATCGAAGAATGTCTCCTTAACTGTTTCGACGAGAACTGCACCTTCTGGGGTCTTTATAAGATAAGCGTTGTATGTTGTACCATACTTTGTCTCCATGATGATATCGAAGACAGCAAGGTTGGAATCAAGGACGCCAAGCCAATAGATGTCTTCAGTGAGCTGCTGTATTTTAAGCATGTTTTGAAAAGTGAGGTAAATATACGTCGATCGTTTTTGCAATTCGATAGACTCTCAAAAAGTGGAAATTTGAGTAAACCTTATGAATACGATTGATGGTTGTTGTCAATTGTAACCATTCAATTCCAAAATAAAATAATTTGATTTAATTCAGATTATCTACTAATTTTATAGTATTCGATAACTTTCTAAGTTGGTCACCTGAAAAATATTTAAACAAATTGAATGCTACTTGATCATAAGGTTTTTTTTCTGCACATACCTTTCAGAGATCGAAATCTTTTTCTAATCAATTATTTTACGATATTTAGACTAATGTAAGTAATATTAATTTATTGAGGTTGAATACAGTTAGATTTTTTATTTACCCAAAAATTAATCTTCCGAACATTCATACGTAACCACTATAGATCAGTGATCAAAACATAACGCATAATAGTTTGTTGCTCAAATTGCATCATTGACAATTCTTCACAACGATTAGTTCTCGTCCCAATTCTAAATTCAAGGAAATGTTCAATTAAAAATTACTTAAAACTGTGTATAATTTCGTAATAATATACATATAAAGACATGCCATTCTTTCATTCCTTGAATCTTCTATGAATTTGAGTGTATTATTGAACTTTCGTATAATTTGAGAGGTATCCCAATTTTATTCAAATCTGAAATTCTGACATATCGTTACTGAGAGAAATTCTATTTTTACATTTTTGAGCGGCACGAAACTACTTTGTATTATTAGTATGGAATAGTATTTAGATTTAATATTTCACATCAAATACCAATTATTTCAAATTTGGGATTTTCCGAATTTGGAAAACTCCATTTTTTGAATCGATTCGCTTCCAGAAACAATTTACACGTTAAATATATTGGATTTTTCTAAAAAGTATATATTTATTGAGTTTGAATATGTTTTTTGGGAAAACTTCTCAAATAGTTTACAATCCATTTCATGAAAAACGATATAATTTTGCAATAAACATTGAAAAGAATATATTTATCCATTAAATTTCACAAAAAGTTGTCAATTTTGTTTTAATCGTTTTTATAAATTGGCCAAATATGCTCAAAATGCAAAATAATCGACCTATGAAGGTCATGTGTGTAATAAACAGAAATTCATCAAAAGTGACAGCTCTCAATTTTTTGACATTTGTAAATTCTAAATTGAATGAGAAAAATGAAATAATACTAAGCATAATACAATATTCTAGATTTAATTATAATTAGGAAAAAGTTAGTTTTGAGAGTACTTTTCATAGGCATATAGAATGAAATCTTCTGAAAAATAATATCACATAAACTCATATTATTTTCTAATATATAACTATTTTATATAAAAATCAAATTCAATGATCTTAAAAGCGAAGGATAAACATCAAAATTTACGAATATAATGAGTGGGAATATAATGCTTATCTATCATAAAACCATATGAAATATCAATTTTTGCTTTACGCCTAATTTTTGACGACAATTAGCAAAAAATGTTAAATGTTAACACTCAGTCCATTTGAATATGAAAAATAAAATTGACTTTGATTAAATGTTTTTATTTATCATGCAATTCTTCTTGCGACCAAAGATTTGAATAAAACTTCAAAAAATAAGATAGCTTAAAAAATAATATACGGTAGTGTTTACTAATAGATGAATAGTATATAAATTCTATTAAAATGGATTTGATCCAAAAAAATATAAAACCAAAAATAATTGTTATAATTTAAATGAACAAGTAATTTAAAACGATTTTATTTATGATCAAATTTTATATATTTTTTTGATGTCTAAGCCTAATCCAGGTCCATTATTGGATAATTCTCTGTCATTTTCATTTGATGATGCAAAATGATTAGTAGGTTGGATCGCCGCTCCCCACTTTGACGCTATTGGAGCTCCAATGGTTTTGCTGGGGCCAAATGGTGAATTAGATTTGGATAGCATCATTAAAAAGAAGCACTGTCCGAAATGAAAAATGGTAAACCGAAATGAGACAATTTTTTCAATGAGTCTCAAATTTTGCTATTGTCTCTTCAATTATACACACAGAGATAATAATACATTAAGACAAACTCTGCCATTTTACCATTTGTAAAGTTGTTTGCCGAAGTCAAATCTATGATACAATTTTTCGGTTTAAATAAACGTCCGACTAAATACTTGAAAATTTTTAAAAAGAAGAAGAACGATTCATTAAATAACCTAAGTCAGTGCCAAAAATAATTAAGGGAGTAGAGTTGTATGACCCTAAATTATTTTCACCGTGAATTTTTTTAATTGTTTCTTGTTTAGAAATGGACTTTTTCGATTCTATTAGAGCAACTCCAAAGCAGGTGAGAGAAGCCCATACCATTGTTACAATGGAAATCGGATCAATGAAACAATCAAAAATTGATTCTAATTTATGCTACGTTTGCCAAAAATATGTTTGCAAAAGTGAATGTGATATATGTCACCACGCTGTTTGTCCTAATTGTATTTTTCAATGTCAACGATGTCCCAGAAAAGTTTGTAGATTTTGCCTTCACGGTCAAGATGAGGAAATATCAACCTGCTACAAATGCTTGCCATAGTTTTCTATGAACGATTTTATTCTGTAATCTAAAAAAAATCGGAATTTTTGGATCAAAACCATTTAAACGTAAGTAAGTAACATGTTAATATCAAATGTCCTCAACAGAAACATCCTTTTTGCCCGTTTTGATACAAATTTCATAGATATATCAGAAAAATTAATATCATTTTAATTTTGATACATATTATCCAATCAATTCATTGCATCCTATCTTACTCATGAATTTATTACTATTCACTACACTTAAAAGATATAATTGTTAAAAATATTTTTATACTAATTAAACGTTCATAAATTTTGTTTGTTTATCTATAATTCTCCTTTTTAAATTGAATTTTGACTTAATGACTATAAAAAATCAAGCAAACGCAGAAAATTTTTTAAATTTTTCATCAGTTTAGCCAAATTTTTATACATCTATAAGTTTCACTTAGTAACATATTTGAATTCGAATATTTCAAGTCAAAATATTTATAAGTGGTTCCTCCCCCTATCTAATTCACTTTTTTTTACAAAATTCAAAATTCCGACTTATTTTAATGCACAGACAACCCAAAGTTACAGCAGAAGACTTAATTGATGAGTTTATTGACAACCATGACAGGCAATCAATAAAATGCGAGCGAATTCAAAACGTTATTCAACAATTACAAAATAAAGACATTGAATCAAAAGAAGCAACTGAAATTGGTGACCTTCTTGCTACTCTAGCTGAGATTATTCCTCCAATTCCTTCAATATTAACAAAATTTTGCGATGCAATTGCATCAATTTGTGTTGACAAAAAGTTTTTACAATTTACAGATGAGGCAATTACAACTGTTGTATCCATACTAATTACACAGAATAAGAATTTCAAAAATGATCCATCTCCAATTCTAAGAGCAATTTCTTCTATTCTTTATGGAAATACTTTGAGACTTAAGGCATTCCACGATGAATTACTTACATTATGTCATACACAATATACTATCTCAGAAGAAGCTTATCGCAGAGCAATTACAATAATTGGAAATATTTCGGCGTTCAGTGGAAAGAGTTTAGATGTTTCTATATATATCAAGTCCATTAGATTTTTAACGCAAGCAATTGCAACAAATAACATAGAAATACAAAAACCAGCATTAAGAGCTCTCCAATTAACAGTTTTAGATGCACCTCCACGTACATTCGACCTTCCTTCAATTACCAGCCTGGTCTCTGCCATTGTTTTTGCTCACGGACCAGTTCCTCTTCGCTATGAAGCGATAATGGTACTAAAAGCGCTTGCTTCGGCCACATCCAACGCTTTTTACTCACAGTGGCCAATTCTATTGACCGGGAAGACCTCAGTTTTCGATCTTTTCAGTGTCCATTCGCGAATTGCGAAAACATCAGCAGATTTATTGGCGGAAATGTTCACAGGAGCTTACAGTTACATGAAAATAGCCAACAATATCGATACCATACACGCTTTCACCACTCTTGCCTCACAAATCGGTGAAATCATCGATATTTGTTTCATAAGATTTTTCGATGTACTGAACAGAACACCCAGAATCGATTCTGCTGCATGGTCGAAAACAGCACATGCCTTCGCAATATTCGTTAAGGACGTTTCATTCGATTCTGGCCATTTAAAGAGCGGATATCTGACACGAGTCGTAAAATGGGCCGAATCGAACATTAAAGAGAATCCTGATGAGTCATTGGCCGTTCTCAAGAGCCTCCTTTGGACTTCTATTGAAAACGAAGAGTTCAAAAATTCATTTGACTTCATTTTCAATTCGTTTCTGGCCAACATGAAGTCCGAAAATCCAGATACGTCCAAAACAGTCTCCCAAGCCATGCGGCGTATTGCCTACGCTTATTCTTCAGAATGCGTATCCAGATGGTCGGTTTTGAACCCTGTTTTGAAGGAATCCGGGGCTGTTGCAGCCTTCCAAGTCATCAGCAGACTCGCCATCAACAAGATTGATGACATAAACATCTGGAATGACATCATCACATTTTATGTTCCTTTGGCCTTCGAAACCGGCAACAAGACCGCAGTCAAACTTGCTCTAGAGTGCATTGGCCACAGTAGTTTCATCTTCTCTTCCCTCCCTGACTCTCTACAACGAACATGTCTTTCAACCGTTTTGGCAAACGACAACGAAAGCGCGTACGAAGCCATTGGATTGCTTGCAGACTCTTCGGCACCTGAGTATTCGAGCACATTCCTTTGCGAAGCGTATATCAAGCTTTCAACAGCGAATCCGCCACAATTATGTCCTCTTTCTAAAGTTCTCAAAGTTTTTTCAACAAACTACAAAGAACAATTCGAGAAATCATGGAAAGACGATGTTGTTCGCATCTCCACGACAAACACATCACCATACAGTGCTGCATGTCTCGCTTACGTCCTTCCTTTCATGGATGACCAGTTCGAAAGAGATGCAGCTTTAGAACAAATTTTGAAAGTCATGGATAACTCGAACGACGCTGAAACTAAGTGGGAAGCAGCGGCAAGTTTGTCATCAGCGGCTAGATATGGATATTTAAACCATAAATGCTGCGAATCATTGTTAAACGCAATGACGGAATCGAAATCTCCGAAATTAAGAGTTAATTGTGCAATTGCGTTAAGTGAACTGACAAATCGCATTGTACTCGGAGATCTATTCGTTAAATGCGTAACAGTGAGCGTTGAATTCTTGAAAGAACCTGCTCATTTCACATTTTTGAAATTAGACGAACAAAGAAAACTCGACGGACAAATGAGGTCGGCTATAACCGTTTTCTTCTTCAAACTCATCAAATGGTCTGTTCCAAAGGATTTCAACTCGATGGAAGAAGTTTTAGTAACAAATAGCGAAATGATCTACGAGTTGATGTTGTATAGCGATGATGCTCCTTGGGAATCAATCACAAGACTCTACGAACTTAAGTTTACAAGTATTCCTGCAGATTTGTTGGAGAAATTCCAGGCTAAGGCTTTCCCTGTTTGAGATAGCATTTTATACTTATATTAATTATATATTTTTATGTTTTGTTGGGAATAATAATTTCACTGTATAAGGTCGCCAAAAAAAGTGCGGAAATTAAAAACCGCAGTTTGAGTACTTTCTGAGAGTCTGTTTGTCAGAAAGTATACATTTGTAAACTTTCTGACACTAAAATTTTTTGGTCCTTTCAAAGTTTTTGACAATGTCAAAAAGTATACATCGGGGCTCTCAATTTTCCTCTCAAACGGCGGTTTTTTAAAAACGCTCATTTTTTCATCGACCTTATTAAAAATAAACTGATATTTGTTTAAGGGTGCACCCGTATGTACGTTTATTTGAGAGGAGGAGGATTACCCTCTCAATTTTGAGGGATTCGTTAGTTTATTTTCTCGATGAATATGCAATAAAATTTGATTTTTACCTTATCAATATACTTCATATAATATACACATGTTCATGTAAAAACTTTTTCCCAAAATCCTCAGGAATTAAGGGATTTTTGAATTTTAAGAATTTTTTTCGAATTTTTTCGAAAAAAAAATATTTTCAGAACAGCCTTAACGGCTAAGATTTAGGAACAATGTTAAGTATCAAAAAGAAAGGAGGTCTGATATAGACAACATATATCGTTGAAGGTTGAAAAAATCTCTAATATTTGAGCCCAAAATTTCAAATTTTAATTTTTTGAAAAAAGAGGCCACCCGTATGTATGTTTATTTGAGAGGAGGAGGATTATATTTTTGAAAGGGTGAAACATTATGAATATGTTAATTATATAATAATATGTATTATTAAAAAAAAAAAAAAAAAAAAAAAAAAAAAAAAAAGGCAGTGGGGCTTCCAGGGGCTGCGCCCCTTCTAGCCCCGAAGATGTTTAGTAAAAAATGAAGTTCTTATATACGGGTCTTCCAGGAGCTTTTCACAAATTATATATGTTTTCATGTTTTGTCACTTTTCTGTCACTTTTCAGGTAAAAACATTTTTATTATATATATATAAAATGAATTTTACAAAACCACCGTTACCCTTCTTTGGAAATAAGAGTAGATGTAAAGATATTCTATTGAGAGAACTTAAGAAACTACCGAATGGTCTAACATTTGTAGATTTGTTCGGTGGAAGTTTCTATATATCTCATTTGTGCCATACTGTATTTCCTGACTCAAAGATTATATGCAATGACTTCGACAACTATATGAACCGTCTCAAACATATACCAGACACAAACAAAATATTGAAAGAGTTAAAAGAAAAGATACCTATAGGTAAGATGGAACGTATACCATTAGATAAGAAAAATACTGTCAGAGAGGTTTTGAAAAAAGCAGAGTATATTGACTGGGATAGTATATCTTCTAGACTATTATATAGTGGTGCTATAAGAGTTCATGACATTGAAACACTTATGTCAAAAGTTTTATATCTTAACTATACAAATGTTTTCAAAGAGGACATAGAAAAATATATTGAGGGTATAGAGTTTGTGAGATGTTATTGGACAGAGTTGTATGAAAAATATAAAGACAAGGAAAATGTTTTCTTTATAGTGGACCCGCCGTTCTATAACACATGGGATTTTCAATACCAAGTAGACTGGACTTTGAGAGACTCTTTAGAAACTTTAGACGTTTTACATAACCATCCATGCTTTTACTTTACATCCGATAAAAGTGGTTTGGAAACCGTTATGAGATGGTTAGAGGACATACATGACTATGAGTTTATATATGACAAGATAGAATATGAGAGAGGTCCTATAAACTGGAGAAAGTGTCATAACAAAGAAATTTTATTAGTAAGTAAATGTGGTTTGAAATAGGACTACTTGTTTTAGGTTTTTTCCATTGTGTCATTTACTTATTTGACGTGGCAGAAAGATATAGAGAATATGAAGATGAACCAATGCCTGCAAATGTCCAGTATATGTACTCGTAAGAGATATTTTTATCTAATATTAAATGGACGCACAGAACTTAGCGAATGCACAGCAACCTGGACAACCAAACCCAGAGAATATTCCAAATGAAGTTAGAATACAAACTGCAATGGCAAACTATGGTCAAGTGCCAACAGATGTACAAATGCAAACTGCCATGTCAAATGACGCTGCGTTAGGTTTGCCACCATGGTATGCAAATATGAGATGGAAAGAGTTTTATACAAACCCTGAAGTGGGATATAAACAACTCTATGCAGATGACGCGAACACAGGAGTTGACCCAGAATATGTTTTCTACCAGAGGAGAAATAGAATGTATGAGCTCCAGTTAAAGAATGCAATGGAACTCAGAAGGAAACGTAAGAGACTAGGCGGACATTAGATTTTTACATATAGTAAAATGGGTTTCTTTGGAAGAATAGGAAACTTCTTTCGAAATGTTGGAAGAGGTATATGGAATGGAATAAAAACCGTAGGAAGAGGAATTTGGAACGGAGTCAAAAATATTGGTAAAAGAGTAGGTCAGTTCGTTGGTATTATACCTAAAGACCCTGAACCAGAAGAACAAGCTCCTGTTATACAACAGCCTGAACCTGCACCACAGTCTAGTTGGCAACCAAATCCAACACCTCAACCGTATTAAAAAATTATATTTTTACCGTTCGATAGTAGTTGTATATGAAACTAAGTTCTAAGTAAAACGCATGGTATAATGGAACTATTCTCTTTCTTCCATCTGTTGTAAACCATACTTGAAAGTCTGAAATACTTCCACTTGGTGGTTCATATAGCTTTGTAGGTTTTTCGTAAAAGTCATTTGCCAAGCATAAAAAAGAGTTTTGGGCGCCAGAAAATGAAGCATGAACTATAATAGCATCTGAGTCGAAAACATTTTCATATGTTCCATTAGGGTTTTCGACTTCATAAAAGTCCGGGTGTACTGGATATTCTGCAGGCTGATTTAACATCCTCAGAAACCTATACCATGCCAAGTTGTTATATTTTGTAGAAATATAAACGTCTTCTCCAAGGTCTTCTATTCTATTGATTTTAACAGTTGCATTTTTCCTGTCATATATAATATCGAGATGGTACTCTCCTTCGTCAATGTTGTACTGTTTTGCATATTCGAGATAGATATCGTTTATTTTTTCTTGAAAAGCTTGAAGAGTTGTTTCTAAGTTTACAAGCAAATTCACTTGTAAAAGTTTTCCCTGTTCAAATTTCTCATACGTACGTTTCTCTTTGTTATAGTATCGAATTTCAAAACCGACCGTAAATGGAAACCATGTATGGCTTCTGAAATGAACTTCATTCTACGAAAGCCAATAGCTTTTGTGACAGATGGGTCTCTTAGCCATCTTAATGGGTAGTCAAAACGATAGCCTTCATGCTTTACGGTCTCTGTCTCAAACTTTTGACCGACATTAGTAAAAAGTTCATCTAATGGTTTAGTTGTAGCAACTCTTGAATTTTCTTTTTCTATTGAAAGCATATTTTATCTAGAATAAAAATGTCGAAAGAAACAGCGTCTATGAGAGAAATACAACACAACCGACAACTCATTTTGCAAGCTCTAAATAAGAACACAACAAACTTTTCAAACTATTCTAAGATATCTGAGTCATTGAAAGAAGGAAACTTAAAACTGACGATAAACCCAATGACAGACGAGTTTCTGTTTCAAGACAGTAAGAACCATACTGTTTGTATAAATCCAACAAAAAGAACTTTAAACGAGAAACCTATAGATGAACTTCTTTTGAAAGCAGATATTGACAACAAAGCTGACAAAGAGTATGTAGATGCAACAAGAGACTATATTCTCGCATGGACAGATAGAACATACCCACAAAAACATCATACACATAACATCTATGACGTAGATGAACTACCAGCAATGTTAGATGACAAAGCAGATAAAACATATGTTGACAATAAAATGTCAAGTGAAGTGACAAGAGCTGACAAAGAATATTCTAAAAAGACTCATACACATACCATTGCAAATATTACAAACTTACAAGAAACCTTAAACAGGAAAAGTGACGTTGGACATACACACGATTTCTTCGCAACTGTTGGTATAGAAAATATTGCAGGAACGGTTGAAGAAACTGGTGGGGATGTATTAAATTGGAAACCTCCTAACTTTCCACAAGGTTTAACATCGGATGAAGACATTAGATGTAGAAATGTCTATGTCATGGAGGATGAAAACAAAGTTAAATTCACTGCTCAAGATTTATATGATAAAAAAGCTGACAAAACAGAGCTTCAAACGTTAAAGACAGAAATACTTCAAACAGTATATCCTATAGGTTCTATTTACACGTCAATGAACTCTACCAGACCAGAAGTAGTACTTGGTCTCGGAACTTGGACTCAAATAGTCGACAGGTTTTTGTATTGTGCAAACTCTTCAAAGGAAACAGGTGGAAGTAAAACGATTTCAGGTGAAAACCTACCTGCACACAGTCACTACGTAGATTTAAGTACATCTCAAGCAGGTTGGCATAAGCATAGATTTTGGGATTGGTCAGCAATGAAAAAAGGTAAAGGATATGATGTTAAAGACGACGTTCAGTTTGCTATAAATTGTTTCTGGGGTAACACTCAGGGAGATGGAAACCATACACATCGCGTTACAGGATATACGCAAACAACGGGACAAAGTAAAGAATACATGCCACCTTACATGACAGTTTACGCATGGTATAGAATTGCTTAGTCGTCATTTTCAACTTCTTTAGCATATTCGTCAGCAGTTGTCTTATATTTGTTAGGAACTGTCTTTGAAAGTATACCACCTTGAACTTTGACAAGTTTGAAACGAGGTCTGACAATAGTAGTTTTATCTTCTGCTTGCAGTGTGTACATTTTGCCATGTTTGCCTAAAACTTCATAATATTCTCTTGTATACTTTCTTCTATTTTTACGAACACGAATGTGAGTACCTGTCGAGTTCCCATTGTTGTCATAGTCAATAGTATTTTCATATGGGTCGCGTTTAGGTATTTCTATTTTTACTTTGTCACCTTTCTTAAGTTTGAAGCCTGGCATTCTTTCTTGTTTGTCTCTTTTGACTAAACTATTAAATATATAGTCTTTCTCTAAGTCGGGGTTGTTTTTCATTTCTTCGGGGGAGTGGTTTCCCAAACCTTTTTGTTTACGGGTATTGTAAATATTTAAAACTTGTCTCATCTTTGCCATGGAGAAGTGTCTGTACTTGTCGTCATATGACATTTCATTTGCTTCACCACCTTGTGGTTGGTTTAAGTCTCTTAAGATTTTTATACAACTGTCAATGACACCAAGAGCAGAATGGTTTTGGTCGACAATGAAATATTGGTTTACATTTTTTGAACGCAGATAGTTTTTAATATCGTCTGATTTGAAAGAACTTTCACAGTCAGATGTCAGTTTTGTTGGATGGTATTTGTCAACGAATATTGTCAAAGCAGTTTTCACATCTAAAATATTTTTGGACTGTAATGGTATGGCTTCACAGTATCTTGTGTTTTGACCGACAAATATTAGCCAGTATGGAGGTCCATCTTCTCTATACCTCGGAATGTTTTCCAAGATATCCATAAACCAAGCATTTGGTGTTGAACTAAAGATTTTTATCATGAGTGCTTTCTTTGTCGCTTTAGAAACATAGGGGTCCTTGTTTGGATTCGTCATTTTTAACCCATAAGAAATGGGTTTATTTGGCGCAATAGCAGGAGTCGCATCTAGATTTTTGCCCGCAGTGGGAACACTAGCCAGAGGTGCATTTGGAATTGGAAGGAAGATTTTGAGTACATTAGGTATACTGAAAGAGAAAGCACAACCTATTATACAAACTGTACAGAAAGGTTGGGAGGTAGCACGAGATGCAGCAAATCTTATTCCAAATCCTGAAACAAGAGGAAAAGTTCAAGGATGGATGGACAATGTAGGAAGACAAGCAGGAAACTACTATAACAAAGCAAATGACTACTATAACCAAGCAGGGCACTATATGGACCAAGGTGAAAGATTCTTTAACAGAGGATATAACCATGCACAACAATGGGTAAACAATAACCAACCTCAACCGCCTCAAACGTGGGGAATGTAAAATTTTTTACTGAGATGAAATGAACAATACAGCATTGAGACAAATGGGTTCAAGATGGATTTGTCGACTTCCAGCAGTTACACAACGTGTTTGTCAAGTCCTCCCTATACCTCAGGAAGTTTTAGACCGACTTAAAAAACAACAACAACCAGTTGAAAACAAACCAAACTAAAATTTTTTACTGAGATGAAATGACCGAAGAAGTTGAAACGGTAGATTTGACACCACAAACAAAAAGTTCAGAACCATTGTCAAAACCTGTCAAAGAACTTACAGATGAAGAGAAAAATTCAATAATAGAAAGTGCCAGGTCTGGAAATACAAACCCTAACTATAAAGTCACTTTTCATAGAAATGGAACGGCTAGTATCTCAAAAAAGAAACAGACTCTCACAAATAAAATATTGAAGTCTGAAGGAGCTTTCGAGACAACAGATGGAAAAGTTTACTTCACTGACCAACAGTTCATTATAGAACATCTCATTGACTTAGAGTCGAAATATTCTAAACTTTACAACAAACACAAAAAGTTGAAAGGAAAACAAAAACAAATGGCATATGATATTTATGAAGATGTTGACGACACAACTGTTCCTGCAGGTGAAGTAAAGTCAGAGGAACCGAAAAGTGACGAAAAACCGATAGAAGAAGAAAAACAAAAAACTGAAGATAAACCAAAACCAAAGGTTAGTTTCAATACTAAAAGTCAACCTTCATTAGCTGGTATGGGTTGGCGTCAAAGGCTTATGGTAGCTGGTGGTTACGTAAAGTAAAGAGAAAAACATTTTTTTATTTTTATTTGAACTGTACGCTGAGTTTGTTGGAAAAGACCGTTGGGAAACTTGTTTGTTAGACGATGAAATATGAAATGGCATACCATTTAAAACAACATATTTTAAAAAAAATATTTTTTTATTTTATTTGAAATGTACGCTGAGTTTGTTGGAACAGACCGTTGGGAAACTTGTTTGTTAGATGAGAAATATGAAATTCACTGTTGTGAGTCATTTGAAGTCAGAAACAAAAAGACAAAAAGAGTTTTAAGCGAATGTGAGCGAAATAACGGATATGCTATGATGAGTATGAGTGGAAAAAAATATTTTAAACATATTGTCATTGCAACTCATTTTATACCGAACCCTAACAATTTACCTCTTGTAGACCACATAAACCGTATAAGAAACGACAATAGACTTGAAAACTTACGCTGGGTCACTTGTTCTGAAAACAATAAGAACATAGGCAAATTTCGAGATATTGTATTCGAATTTGTCGACGAACTAGAAGATGAAACAATTGAAATTAGAGACTATGGTAAGCATACGTTTGAGTTTTACTACTATAGCGAAGAACAAGACTCTTTCTACTTTTATACCGGCGTAAACTATAGGAAATTACAAGTATATTTTACTAAGGAAGGCTATGCTTATGTAAACGCTAGAGATACAGATGGAAAATACGTTAAAATACTTCTTAACAAATTCAAGAAGCTATATGGCATACCATTTTAAAACATTTTTTAAAACAGTATATTTTTACATATATTAAATGCTTCAGGTTGAAAAACAAAGAACAAAAGGAGTAGATACAAAACCGTTAGACTATATCTTTACAAACGCTGGTAGGAATATATCAGATGAAGAAATTTCATCCGGAGCTTACAGGTTTGACTTTCCAATTCGTTGGCTTCAAAGTCCTTCAGATGCAAAGGCAATAGGATTTAGAAGAGTTTTGTTTTCAAAAAGAACTAACGCATTTATGTTCGCAGTATATTTTCATGGGCAATATAAAGGTTCTGATGGTCTAATAGACAAATTTGACGAAATGAGAATATTTACAGTTCGTTCAGACGAAAGTCTTGAGAAAACTCTAAATGACTTTCAAACTCAAATGAACAAATACTATTGGGAATTTCAAGAAAAATACGACTCTTTACTAAATGGAACATACTATCTGAAACTAGAATATGATAAGATGAACTCCACCGTTTCATTTCAAAGGATTGAAATTAACCCTCCAAGAGATACACAGTTTTTATATTGGGGAGTAGACAAACGTTCTTGGGCACAATTTCTTCGGTTACTAAACCAGAACGAACCATTACCACCTGACGGTCCGTTTAAATTTATACGCCCACCAACAGATTTGACAGTTTATAGAAACGTGTTCGACCCTCAAAATGTCATGTGTCATGCAAGTTTCAGTTCAAGCAACAACAGTTTTCTTTGTATTGGTAAGGACTTTTATGACTTTGCTTCTAAATTCTACGAACCACCTAGTAACAGTTTCTCTGACTTTCAAGTTTGGTTCACAACAAATGGTGTGCAACATATTATTCCATTGTACTATGACTTTTATCTCGAATTGTCTTTCATATATAACTACGGAAAAGTGCTGAAAAAGTATTGAAAAATACTTTTAGGTGAAGAGGTGAGATGTCACCTGTTTTCTCACCTGTTTTTTCACCTGTTTTCTCACCCGTTGAATTTTCATGAATTTTGTGCTGAATTCGACAAAAATGAGTTTTTGGTTGAAAAAAGAGGTGGAGCCAAAAGTGGCTCGACCTCAAAACAAGCATTTTGTGAAGAATATACCAACCCGCGGAAAACAGCGGGTTGCTTTTTATACAAAATTCAACAGGTGAATTTTCATGAATTTCCTTAAGATAGAAAAAAATATATTTTAGGCGACCAGGTCACTCGGTCACTCGGTCACTCGGTCAACTAACATCTTTTTGAAAAAGTGTGACAACATGACATTTTGACAACAACACAGGAAATAGATTTCATCGTAAATGTTTTGTCAAGACTTCTTCGTTTATGTTTTGTCGAAACTTCTTCGTTTATGTTTTGTCGAGATTTTTATCGTTGTGGTCCGACGGTTAAGCCACAAACGAATGTCCGACGTCCCACCAAAAAATATTTTTTATTTTTATTGTAA